CAATTACATTAATACAGCTCAGTTAAGGCTGAAATCATTCTCCAGTATGTTTAACAATTAAAATAAATTTCTAGAACATACTTGAAGACAACATCCTGTACGTCTGTGAGGACAACGCCCACAGATTGTAAGAACACATTGATCACGTTAGAATGTAACTGAGTAGGTTTACCGTCACCTCCTCCGCCACCTTGTAGGGAAAAGCTCAGATGTACCTGTTAATTATAAAATAATTTTGTAATAATGCATATAACGTGTGTATCAAGCAGGGGTGTCCGTGGCCAAGTGTCTCAAACACTATTTAAATATTTGACTTCTAAATCTTTATAAATATCAGTAATAAATATAAAAGACCTTGTTTTTGTGTTTGTCTGGTTTTTACGCCAATTTCATCACGGGTTTGGTCATATCAGGGCAATAAGTCAACCAAGTTAACTTACCAGTAATTACGAATTCATCAAATTCAATTAAGATATATTTTGTATTATATTATCATCTTTTACATATATTTCTCATCTTAAGTGTCCCTGTTTATCTCTGTAAGATTTTCAACTTTGATGGTTTTAGGCTTTTGGACCCCAGTGGAGATCTTGTCAGAAATGTTTTGAAGTTTCATTAAAAAAACTTCAAATGTTTGGCTAAAATAGCATGGCATGAAACTCTTAGTCTCTAAATTTGTTACCATTGGATGACTACATTCATTAACTAGGTAAGAAGGGTATAGGGTCAATATAGTATATAGTTTTACCTTTATAATGGCACCTGAGTAGAACCACCGACATTTTATGAGCTAGCTAGATTGCTTCCTCGCATAATAAAAATCCAAAGTCTCTGTCAGGATTCAAACCCACAGGGGTGAGGGGCAAGTGGTTTGAAGTCAATGATCTGTGACACCCCCGATAAAATGATATATCAATATAGTATAATTATAGTATTACCTTTATAGGTGAAAGATGAAGATAATCATAAAACATTTTTTGTTCACTAGCTAAAGACACGCCCATCGTCGTGATCAAATCTTTCTCCGTCCTCTCTATATCCTCTTCCATAAGTTGTTTCTGTGATGACAAAATATATACAAATATATTTCTTTAACGGCCCTTACAGCCATAAATATGACATTTACACACCTCACAACAAAACTATGTTTTCAATGCTTTTCAAGAATCTCTCATTTTCCAGATTTTTTTTTACTACTCTATTATCCTATCCTTTAAGTGGTCTTATAAATGTGCATTTTTAACAATACATACTCTATTATCCTATCCTTTAAGTGATCTTAGAAATGTGCATTTTTAACAATACATACTCTATTATCCTATTCTTTAAGTGGTCTTAGAAATGTGCATTTTTAACAATACATACTCTATTATCCTATCCATTAAGTGGTCTAAGAAATATTCACACTTGACAATATATATTCTACTGTCATATCCTTTAAGTGGTCTTAGAAATCGGCATTCTTAACAATACATACTCTATTATCCTATTCTTTAAGTGGTCTTAGAAATGTGCATTCTTAACAATACATACTCTATTATCCTATCCTTTAAGTGATCTTAGAAATGTGCATTTTTAACAATACATACTCTATTATCCTATCCTTTAAGTGATCTTAGAAATGTGCATTTTTAACAATACATACTCTATTATCCTATCCTTTAAGTGATCTTAGAAATGTGCATTTTTAACAATACATACTCTATTATCCTATCCTTTAAGTGATCTTAGAAATGTGCATTTTTAACAATACATACTCTATTATCCTATCCTTTAAGTGATCTTAGAAATGTGCATTTTTAACAATACATACTCTATTATCCTATCCTTTAAGTGATCTTAGAAATGTGCATTTTTAACAATACATACTCTATTATCCTATCCATTAAGTGGTCTAAGAAATATTCACACTTGACAATATATATTCTACTGTCATATCCTTTAAGTGGTCTTAGAAATGTGCATTCTTGACAATATAATTATATTCTATTATCCTATCCATTAAGTGGTCTAAGAAATATTCACACTTGACAATATATATTCTATTATCCTATCCTTTAAGTGGTCTTAGAAATGTGCATTCTTGACAATATAATTATATTCTATTATCTTATCCTTTAAGTGGTCTAAGAAATATTCACACTTGACAACATATATTCTATTATCCTATCCTTTAAGTGGTCTTAGAAATGTGCATTCTTGACAATATAATTATATTCTATTATCCTATCCATTAAGTGGTCTAAGAAATATTCACACTTGACAATATATATTCTACTGTCCTATCCTTTAAGTGGTCTTAGAAATACTTAACAATACTTTTACTATTTAAAACACTGCCTTAATCTTCACAAAATAGAGCATAAATCTGGAGGGCATGTTGTTTTAATGTTGCTATGATTACCTCTTGATCTCTAGAAGCCTCCTGGTCAGAACTGAACAAGTCTAAAATATTGTTAAGGAATCCTTGATCTACCTTTACCTGCATCTCTTGTATTAGCACCTTAAAATATCTGAAAAAAAAAAATAAAAAAAAAATGGATAAGTCTCTAGAATACTTTCACTACGATCAGTACTGTTAAATCATTATTATTTGAGTTGCATGTTTTTTGCTTTTTATGAATATATTTGCATATATTGACTTTCTTTTGGTACTTTACCTAAACTGCAAGTCTGTTTGCAATGCTTAGATTACTTTCTTCATTTCACAAGAGTGGCGGCATGGCTGAGTGGTCTACATATCTGTCTACAGCTTTAAAGACTGTAGGCCACGTGGGTTCAAAACCTTTCAGTGGCAAGCCGTTGTTCCCTGTGCTATAAAGACTCCTAGCCACATGGGTTCAAGACTGCTAGCCACCTGGGTTCAAACGCTTTCAGTGGCAAGCCTTTGTTCTGTGAGCAAGAATTTTTACACTCATTGCTCAATCCTGGTTGATTTCAGGAAGGGATGTGAGTGTGTTGAAATAAGCTTATACAGCTTCTATCACAATCAAATTTAGTATACACTAAAAATTAAGCATAATGACACTTCAATGTCACGGAACTTACTTCATTTGTGATATATTACTATGCTCGTGTTTCCTCAACATCATACTGATCTCTGTGAATGGTTTTGGAACTGAAATATAAAAGGAAATAGTATTATTATAACAATAAAATTATATTTTCAAAAATTTAGCAAAATAAATAAATATTACCCTTAGCCTGGTGGGAGGGCTCACATGACTTTGAAAATAGTTTGGTACCAGGCCACATTTTAAGTCGGTTGTTAATTCTTTTTGCATTTCGAGAAAATTTGATGAAATTGAAAAGTTAAGCAGACAAAATTTTTGTATATGTTTCTCTCGTCAAAACAACATCATGACATTCTTGTACTTTAATATATTCATATTTATAACACAGTGCATCCTCAACTAAAATATTAAGAGGATATTTTTTCGTTTGCGTGAAATATGGAATATATTTTCACGAAACATGATAAAATGCCACATATTTTCACGAGCCGGTACGGCGAGTGAAAATATGTGGCATTTTATCATGTTGAGTGAAAATATATACCATATTTCACAAAAAAACGAAAAAATAACCTTTTTATTTAATTTCATTATCAAAGAGAATGGTAACGAATCCCCTTGCTTGCTACCAACTGCAATTGTACAGAGCGCAGTAATTTATGCGTAAGCACGCGCTGTTTGGCGCTACATTGTGACGTCATGTAAACAACTCTTTAAACGTCTGTACAGCGTTAATTACTGAATTAAAGATATTGGTGTTCGGATTAATTTTCTTAGTTAGACCATTTTCTATCATGCTAGATAGTTTTCAAAACAATATTCAAGAAAAAGTTGTTTAGTATTTATCAGATTTTTCAAACAAAACGGCTAAAAAAGTCCCTTAAAATAAATATGAGTTTTGACTCCGCCCACTTTCATATTTATATTTCATATTTATTTTTAAAAAATATGAAATATATTTGACTGATATAGCACCATATTTCATGGGTAAAATTAAATAAATATACATATTTTTTTTTTTTTTTGGTTGGGTCTAACATCGCTACAACACTTTAAAGTCATATGCTGACTTTCCAGCTTTGCTGGTATAGGAAGACCTTAGGATTGGTGGCCTTCCATGCATTATTTCAGGCATGAACAGGCACCTGAGTAGAACTAGCAAAATTCAAGCTATATATATATACATGTACAAATGTATATATATCCCAAATATAATTATCAAAGTTAAAAAAATCATCAAAGTTAAAAAAGTCTTTAACAAAACTATAAAACTGTTATAAAAATGTTATATTACCACTCTCAGCAGCAACAGATTTTGGAGGTGGCATTGGTGATATAACTGTAGGGAACACTGATCCTGCTACCTGGTTATCCAGCTACAAACATAATATATGTACAATTATATAATTATTCTAATTAACATTTTCCATAAAATGTCTTATTAAAACTAGAAATGTGTCCATAGGACACGGATGCCCCCACACGCCACTGTTCTGTCAATCTTATGACTCTACTGAGTCTAGGTCAAATATTTTTTGAACTACATGTGCCACAAGTTGAAAACTAAAAATCAACAAAGGGCCATAATTCTGTTAAATTTGGTCGCAGAAAAAATTCCTTCCTTTACTACCATCTACACATTAAGGTTGTTAATCCCTGGAAGTTTAAGCAAAATCTGCCATCCGGTTTAAGAGGAGTTGCGTTCACAAAATTTCTACATAGTATAATTGTATATAATGAAAAAATCAACAAAGGGCCATAATTCTGTTAAATTTGGTTGCATCAAAAATTCCTTCCTTTACTACCATCTACACATTAAGGTTGTTCATCCCTGTAAGTTTAAGCAAAATCTGCCATCCGGTTTAAGAGGAGTTGCATTCACAAAATTTCTACATAGTATCTAGTGAAAAAATCAACAAAGGGCCATAATTCTGTTAAATTTGGTCGCAGCAAAAATTCCTTCCTTTACTACCATCTACACATTAAGGTTGTTCATCCCTGTAAGTTTAAACAAAATCTGCCCTGCGGTTTAAGAGGAGTTGCGTTCACAAGATTTCGGGACGTACAGACTGACGGACGGACTGACGGATGGACGGACGGACAAGTGCAACGCTATATGCTCCCACATTGTGGGGGCATAAAAAGCTTATTTTTTATCACATGATAAATCAATGTAATTTAGACATTACATCTTTTTTTTATAGAACATGTTTTTAATATAAAAATGTCCAATCAATATTAAAATGGCCGATCAGACATTTTTTCTTTTTTATCCTAACTTAAGGTAAGATCCCTGTAATGGAATCGGGTTTTTCCGTGCCATGTCGGCATTCTACGTAACTTATCGGCACATCCGTTACCTCTCGCCCGTTTCCGTAAACAGATTTATGTTTTATTTATAAATGAATAAATTATCCATATAATTATATCCAGTACAAATAGAATTTTATTTTTTGATAAAATGAAAATGAAATTATCAAAAAGAATATGTTGTTTGTAAACGGATAATTCGTAAAAACCCCGTTGCTGTGAAACCAGGTTGGGAAGCCCCTATATGACGTCACGATTTCAGAAAATAGACCGCAGAAGTGAAAATGAAAGTAAGAGACAGAAAAGGCCGTTACAAGGCCAAAAACAAACGCAAGTTGAGAAAAGAACCTAATATTCTTGTGGATCATAATAACCCTCACGTATTGAGCATTTGTAAGTGCAAAATTGGTAATTGTCCAATTTATGAACACCGACAGAAGGGATCGGCAGGTGGGTGGAGAAAAGCTAGACGGGTGATTGAGTTGGACGTTTTAGTTAGAAATTTAGCTCACTGCAAGGAATGTCGTCTTGGAACTTTATTCTCACAAGCGACAACATTGTGGGGGAGCTGCAAAATGGCTTGGGTGGCTATCTGTACGTTATGTGTTCGAATTTAGAGTGAGGAGCTGTAAATTTGGTTTCATATGGAACAACACACGACAACAAAACAAAGGGGATGTCCTGCTTTGAAATAAACACAAATTTAAGCTTGGATTTGGTAATTATTATTTTTTATTTGAAACAAATTTAGATATTTTAGAATGTTAATCAGCCAGGCCCCGAGGCACTAGATAATGAGTAAATGACAAAGTAATTTGAGCCGTGTCGCGACAAACCCAACATAAAAGGGTTTGCGACCAGCATGGATCCAGACCAGCCTGCGCTTCCGCGCAGTCTGATCAGGATAACCCCTATAAAAAGTAGACAAATTGATAGCGAACAGCATGGATCCAGATCAGACTGCGCGGATGCGCAGGCCGGTCTGGATCCATGCTGGTCGCAAACCCATTATGTTGGTTTTGTCGTGACACGGCTCAGTTTAATAATTGTAACTTGTAAATATTACAGAATTTACACCGGCTCACAAAAACTGTTTTATTATAGGTAAATTTAATTCTGTCGATATCTCGCCATAATATAAATTGCCGAATATCATCATCAAAATCAATTAATAGAAATATGTATGTTCATTATTTGTGACAATGTATTGATAATAAGTAGTGCAATTAAGTAACTGGCTGAAAATGTCATAAGCAATGTGAGTAACTTGCTGAAAATTTAATAAGATAGATAGATAGATAGATAGTTTATTCATATAAGACATGTACAAAATGCACATGGTCAAAATACATATATTCAAATATAATTAAACATCACGTAATCATCAAAATAAACATTATTTAGTAGCAAAGTGTCATACAATGATACAACTACATCTTTGGACTGTATTAACAAAAATAAATGCAAGTGCAAGCATTGCATTTATTTTTCATTGAAAAAATGCTGTACGGCTAGCCTAAACAGTGCATATATGCTGGTCATCTGTGACTCACAGCTAGAAATTTTGGCTAGCATTACGGGCCTGTACGACTGGCTACCTCCAATGTAAAAATACAATATATGTAACACTTCTCTCTCAATTTTAATTTTCTCGTCAGCTAAACTGGAGATATGCAGCTTTAATGTCTTAGAATACTCTACTTCACACATGACAGTAGGCTCATGTTAGTGAACTCAGTGATTTTAATATTTATAAAATCTTATTCATGCGCTAGAAAATAAAAATTTCAAGCATTACTCAACAGTAAAAAGGTAATTAAGTATTTAAAAAATTATCGTTTAAGGTTTATGCACATTCATCATCTAATTTGAACAATGATTGTAACTGCTTTTTTTCTGTCATATTTACAGCAATGATTGACAGCATTGGTGGGGCTGTCAAAGTTAACAATTTCCTTGCCACTCTTGATCTTAAGCTGATAAGCCTAGAAAATCTTAAGGAAATTGAGAGAGGGCTGGTGAAGTGAAAGAAGCTGTCTGAGCAAAATCACAGAGACGGTCAGCTGAAGAGGCTTACAAATAAAGAAATTGAGTATGTGATTAACTTGTTACCACAAAACATTTTTTTAATTTACATCTCTTTAATTGAGAATTTAGTATCTAAATAATATTTATGCCATTTAAATAACAAGCCATTGTAGACTATTGTCAAAATTGTTTTACTCCTTAATACGAAAAATAATTTACCACTTCTGAGTTAAACGCATTAAGTGTATAAAATATATTTATAGTCTTTTCAATACATGTGCCATCATTAATGTTAAACATTTTCCACCACAGGGACTGCTGAGATTTAAACTTTTTCAATGTTTATGAATTATGTTATATACAGTGTCCGCTCTGTAACTTTCATATACATTAAAGTTTCAATTTTTAGAAATATAAAATCACCATAGATGAACTATGTGTTGTGAACAAGACACAGGTTTCTTTGTCTCACTTAAAGGTCACTGCTGGGGTTCGAACTTTGTCAATTTTTACCACCACATGTAAATTAGGTGGTTTATAACTAGAATCCTTGGGGGGCATTTGTCACTTTCTGTGACAGCTCTTGTTTTTAGCTCACCTGTCACAAAGTGACAGGGTGAGCTTTCGTGATCGCTTTTCGTCCGGCGTCCGTCCGTCCGTCCGTCGTCCGTCCGTCCGTCCGTAAACTTTTGCTTTAAATGACATCTCCTCATAAACCCTGAGCCAATTTTATCCAAAATTCACATGTTTTTTTTTGGGAGTCAATTTCAAAAGTGTTCAAAGAATTTAATTCCATGCAGAACTCTGGTTGCCATGGCAACCAAAAGAAAAAACTTTAAATATCTTCTTTTAAAAAACCATAAGAGCTAGAGCTTAGATATTTGGCATGAAACATCTTCTAGTGAGTGTCTACCAAGTTTGTTCAAATAAAAGCACTGGGGTCAAAATTGGCCCCGCCCCTGGGGGTCATTGATTTTCCCTATATGCATATAGTAAAAACTTAAAAAATCTTCTTTTAAAGAACCGTAAGAGCTAGAGCTTAGATATTTGGCATGAAACATCTTCTAGTGAATGTCTACCAAGTTTGTTCAAATAAAAGCCCTGGGGTCAAAATTGGCCCCGACCCAGGGGGTCATTGATTTTCCCTATATGCATATAGTAAAAACTTAAAAAATCTTCTTTTAAAGAACCCAAAGAGCTAGAGCTAAGATATTAAGCATGAAACATGTTCTAATGGATGTCTACCAAGTTTGTTCAAATTAAAGCCCTGGGGTCAAAATTGGCCCCGCCCCGGGGGTCATTGATTTTCCCTATATGCATATAGTAAAAACTTAAAAAAATTTCTTTTAAAGAACCATAAGAGCTAGAGCTTAGATATTTGGCATGAAACATCTTCTAGTGAATGTCTACCGAGTTTGTTCAAATAAAAGCCCTGGGGTCAAAATTGACCCCGCCCCAGGGGGTCATAGATTTTCCCTATATGCATATAGTAAAAACTTAAAAAATTTTCTTTTAAAGAACCCAAAAAGCTAGAGCTAAGATATTAAGCATGAAACATCTTCTAGTGAGTGTCTACCAAGTTTGTTCAAATTAAAGCCCTGGGGTCAAAATTGGCCCCGCCCCGGGGGTCATTGATTTTCCCTATATGCATATGGTAAAAACTTAAAAAATCTTCTTTTAAAGAACCATAAGAGCTAGAGCTTAGATATTTGGCATGAAACATCTTCTAGCGAATGTCTACCAAGTTTGTTCAAATAAAAGCCCTGGGGTCAAAATTGACCCTGCCCCAGGGGGTCATAGATTTTCCCTATATGCATATAGTAAAAACTTAAAAAATCTTCTTTTAAAGAACCCAAAGAGCTAGAGCTAAGATATTTAGCATGAAACATCTTCTAATGAGTGTCTACCAAGTTTGTTCAAATAAAAGCTCTGGGGTCAAAATCGGCCCCGCCCCAGGGGGTCATTGATTTTCCCTATAAGCATATAGTAAAAACTTAAAAAATCTTCTTTTAAAGAACTCAAAGAGCTAGAGCTAAGATATTTAGCATGAAACATGTTCTAATGGGTGTCTACCAAGTATGTTCAAATAAAAGCCCTGGGGTCAAAAACTGGCCCCGCCCGGGGGGGGGGGGTCATTGATTTTCCTTATATGTGTATAGCAAAAACTTAAAAATCTTCTTTGGAAAAAACCCAAATAGCTAGAGTTTAGATATTAAGCATGAAACATCTTTAAGTAAATATCTACAAAGTTTGTTAAAATAAACGCCCGGGGGTCAAAACTGGCCCTGCCCCAGGGGTGACATTGTTTTTAACTATATGTGTATAGTAAAAACTTTAAAAATCTTCTTTTAAAAATGCCAATGAGCTAGAACTTAGATGTTTAGCATGAAACATCTTCTTATGGGTGTCTACCAAGTCTGTTCAAATAAACAAATAAAAGCCCTTGGGTAAAAATTGGCCCTGGGGTGGGGGGCCTATATACAGGTGAGCGACCTCAGGGCCATCATGGCCCTCTTGTTTATGTTTGAAGGTGTGTTTATCATTTATTTGCATGCAGCACTAGATTCAGAAGCATTTTTCTTCTGCAGAAAAAAATAAAATAAGACTCTCATTGTGATCATTATAATAAGCCTAAGTAATACACATGCTATACTTAATTTTGTATGGTAATAACTGTAAGATACAAGGTGCTAGATGTTTAAGTCATGGATAAGGATCTTAAAACCCTTCAGAACCTTATATTATTTGCAAGTTTTTCCTTTCACTTCCAAGCACTGTGTATAAAAGCTATCTATATAATATGATGTGACAATTTTAGGTATTGGTCATACAGCAGACTCAGATATACAGACCTTACCAGATGCAGTTTCTAAGGGAAAGTTCAAGTCAGTAAAGACAGAAAATCCTACATTTATAACATTAGATTTGGAAACTACAGATCTAAGTGAGTTGACATTTGCTTTCCTAAAACCAGATTTTGAATATAGAAAAGAGATAAAAGTCATATGTCACATTTCTAAACTGTGTAAAGTATTGAAATAATCATTATTCCAATTTCATGCTAAATTTCTGGAGAGTAACAGTATGTAATCCTATAATTTATTTTCTAATGCATAAAGTAAGGCTAATTGTGCAGACAGGGTAACAGTTTTCACCATTACAATATGCTAGCCTACATGGGTACATCTTTTGTCACTTTATAGTACAATATCAATATATTTATTGCAGTTCGAGGTTCACAGATGCCACATATAACACAGATTGCAGCTAAAGAAATAAAGACTGCTGCTTCATTTAATCAGAATGTAATTCCTCCAATGACAATAGCAGTAGAACCTCAACGAAAAACTGGCATAAAAGTCACAGATGATGGTTATATGACTGTACATAGTGAACATGTTAATAACTTAAATGTACATGAATCTTTAGATAATAAAATAAATAAATACAAGGGATAATCTTGGATTTGCATGTAAGATCAAAATGTATTTCATAAAGTTAACGTCAGATGCAACATTTTTATTACTATTAGTGGCATAGCCATGAGTTTTAGTATAAAAGCTAATGCTAATGAGTATAATACACACACACCCGTTGATACTAGTATAATTTTATCTGACATGTGAAGTATCAGTAAACAATATTTATGTTTATTCTGTGACTCTGTGACTGTTTAGTCATTTTATTGCTTTTTACATGATGAGGTCATTTAAATTTATTGTGAAATGGAAGTTTCGTCCGTTATGAGCAACCAGAACTGGATCGGGAACTTCCTGATGTCATCAAATCATGACATCATAATGTTCATGTTGAAAATATTCGTGTTAAAAGTAAATCTATAACAGTATCAAGATTTTGAGAATGTGATGTATGCAAATTTATAATATACTAGTGCCAATATTGTGACTTCATAAAAATGGTATTGTATGACTGTCAGTGTGCATATATTTAGATCTGATGTCATTTCCGTTATACAAACATAAAGACGCCATAAATGTTAGAGTTACAGTAAAGGCGCATCAATGGAGAATTATTATTTTTTATTTTAAACAGTCTTTATTTTGTGCATGTGATACATATAATTTATTATATTTATGTAGGTTTGTTACTGCTTGATTCAATTCGTTGAATGTAATAATATAATAATTTGCTCGCCAGTACTAAATTCAGTATTGAACATTGAACACTCCTTCAATATCCTCTATATATCAATTTTTGTGTTATTATGTTCTGATATTTTGGAAGTGAAATTATTTAAATATTATTTCAATATTTTACTGAGTGGATGCAATGAATTCAAGTAGTTTCTTGTGATGAAATAGTTATTCTTGTAATAAATTTCAATAATTTTCCTGTTAGATTTTGGAAGTTAAGCAATGAAATTTTTGAGAATGTGAACATGACAAATATTATAAAACAATATTTGAAGATTTCATTTAAATGACTGTACATTTATTAAGATAGCCTCTGTTAAGAAAAAACACATAAATAATCATATTTTACAAAATCTAATGTTTTCCAAGAGATAAGAAAGACAGGTAACAGCTATGCTGTACATTTTTGTTTCGGAAATTTTTTTACATCATTTTGTAAAACACTTTTTTGTCAAAAAAGTAATGTGGAAAGAGGTCATGAAATTTCCATATTTTGATTGCTATGGAAGAGTATTAAAAGTTATAGAAGTAATTTGCTTGCCCCAATTCAAATATTAAAAAAGATAATAATAATAATTCTTATTTTATATCTATTTTTATGTGTTTTTTTAAGTTTCAGAAATCTTGGATGAGGTTTTAGTCAATTGGCTGAAATCAATACATTTTGTGAACAGTTTATTGTTATTTTGTTATCATAATATATGTCTTGAAACATAATAAACTCTTACATTTAAGGTAAAAGCTGCAATTTTTTTTTTCATATGTATTCCTTACCCCTACCCCCACTGTTTTGGGGGCAATTTAGTGGGAGGGGGTATTCACATAAAAATGCTTATAATTTGAAAACTTGATGGTAAATGTCTTTGAAAAGTTGCAATTGAATAAGTTAAATAGAGTACTTTGATAAAATATTAAGCTTGATCAGGTTCCTAAATATACCCATTACAGGTATCTTACCTTAATTATATCTGGCTCGTTTTCCGACAAATTCAATGTCAACTCGTTTAACCCTTAGCTTGCTAAGCTCAATAGGTAGAGTGTTGGACTGTGAATCTGGCAACACTGGTTCGATTCCTGTTCTGCGCATGTCACTTTTGTTGTGACTGATCATGATATCTTTTTCAATACTTTCAAGAAAGGTCTAAAAGTAAACCAAAAATACACACAGATTTCAACAGTTGCCCGTACGTACCTGCACCCTGTTTATTTTAGCATGAAACTGCACTTGATGTGGGGACGTCTTGTACTGTACCCAGATACCATCCTGGAAACTTCGGCGGATCATACGCTTATTTGGTTTGAACATCATCATATCCTTAAAGTTTACCTGTATAATAAAATATCATAATAAACATAAATATAGTACAACGTAGTTTGCCTTGTTTGTTTCATTGATTCAAGAGCAAGTTTAGTAACATTTCAATCTAAAAAGCTGAAAGAATTTAAAGTATTCCAGCAAATTGTCTTCACAATATAAAATGTTTATTCTTAAAGTGTATAAAGCTATATATTGTAGTATTTATCACAACATTTCTACTGTATGACTATCGCAATAAGGGCCGTTTTTGCATATTTTGACTTTTTGGTAATTTACGTGTATTGTATAAGCTGTTTGCAAAATTGTGAAAATTACTTTCTTTACTTAAGAAATAATATATCCCAAACTGTGATTTTATCGCTCAATAACATCACTGTTTGGAGTTCGGATGCGAGGAATTATATCACGAGGGCGTAGCCCGAGTGATATAATGATGCGCATCCGAACGACAAACAGTGATGTTATCAAGCGATAAAATCACCGATTTGGATATATTATTTTGATTCTAACACGACATCAACACATAAATGCTGCCATACCTGATATTAACCTAAATTGCGCCTGATTTGTTTCCGTACTTATTTTCAGCGCGTCACATTTTAGTGGTTACGTCACGTGTATAATGATTACGTCACATGTCTAAATATAGAACGTCAAACTGTGATTTTATTGCATAATAACACACACTTTCGGTTCTTCTATGTTCAATGGGGAAAAATGCGGGTCGTGTTAGAATTTTTCTTTGTTCACTTCACAATGTTTTACAAATAATTACATTTTTAAAATTTCCATGAAAATAAGCATGAATCTGGAGGCATGCTGCTTTTACAGTAATCATGTGAAAATGGCTTTTCTGAGAATCTTGGCTCAAGTCTTTTTTTTCTCCTTTTTTTTGTATAACAAATTGTGTATAAATAGGAAATTGATATCAATTTTGAGTGCATTGCTGTAGAATTATGCAAGGTTCAAGTTCAAAATGTGTAGGAATATAATTGCAAAGGCCAATATGCAAATAAGAAAGAGAATTGATAAAAATATGTTGAACTACATTGAGGGTAGAAATAATTTTCCTGATGTTATTTGGTTTATTGATGTTAAATAATATTATAACCCATTTGTTTTTAATGCTGTGCATACATCTTGCAATAGTGTGTATGACCACCCTATGCTTGATAGGGAATAGTGTGAAGCGTGTTAGAATATGTTTTTACCTCCATTTTGTCAATACGCAACATATCTGGGGGAGTATGTCCACCTAACTTCTCTGTTTCATATTTCTGGTATGCTGCCTCCAGGGCCAAACAATTCTTCAAGTTAAATGCCTTGTATCTCTTCCTCTTCTCTTCCCAGATTATACCAGAACTAAAATATACCAGATTATGCTAGAACTAAAATATACCATATTATGCTAGAACTAAACTATACCAAATCATACCAGAACTAAACTATACCAAATCATACCAGAACTAAAATATACCAGATTATACCAGAACTAAAATATACCAGATTATACCAGAACTAAAATATACCAGATTATACCAGAACTAAAATATACCAGGTTATATCAGAACTAAAATATACCAGATTTTACCAGGACTAAAATATACCAGATTATACCAAAACTAAAATATACCAGATTTTACCAGGACTAAAATATACCAGATTATACCAAAACTAAAATATATCAGATATTTACCATACCCAAAATACACCAGATTAAACAATAACTCTAATATACCATAACTAAATATACCAGATTTTACTGCTACATCTTTATCTTTTTCCTGCATTTCTGAAGGGTTACTTAATTTCTACAATAAACCCTTGATATATCTCCCTATTAATTGAGTCAAATCAGGAACATATTCCAACATACCTTGTTATTCCAAGGAAAGCCACCTCTTGTTGTTTATAGTTGTTAACCAAGGATAATCCCATTCCTTGAATGTTTAAGTTGATCTCCTGCTCTATCCTCTCTAATTCTCCAGCCTGTAATATCACAACAACAATAAACTTAAAATTCATAGTATTATTATGTATTAATATACAGTCTAACTCGCCCATACAACCACGTGTATTAAGCGGCTTTCGTCTTATGCAACCACTTTAAATTCCCCTGATCATTTTCTCTCTATATCTTTAATGTGTTAAGCAACTTTTGCTCAATGTACCAGGTAACAGGTGACCGCTAATCAGTCACCCTTTTCATGAAGCGACCACTTTGAGGATGAAAACATTGATTTTACTGCAGACAAATTCTAAAACCATAATATTCATTTAATAATATCATCACATCAAAGATTTTTACCAAGTCACATCATCATATCTTAATGCAAAATCATGTCATCCAATCTTAATATATTCATAAAATAATTTTTATATCATATCATAATATATTCACAAAATCATGTCATCATACCTTTATGAAATCATGTCATCATATCAAAATACATTAATTAACTCATGATACCACATTTATATATATTCATTTACACATGATATCATATTTTAATATATTCATTAAATCATGTCATCATATCCTATATATTATTCATCATGTCAACCATATTAATATCATATCTTAATTACATGTATTTCATCTGAAAAGATTTATGAAAGTAAATTTCTGATATGCAGTCAAAATATTAAACCTTTTACTATTATTTCATTTATCATATTCCACATGTTAATATATCTGAAGGAGATTGAAAGAGTGTCAATTATCTGCTAATAAAAAGTGAAAATTAGTGCCAGACTTCTTTTAAAAGACAGACTAAATTTTATCTAACTGGAAATGTTTCAAAAGAACAAGGTTGCTCCCACATTCTATAAGACAGTGTGATGTATATCCACCCTGCACCTCAAATGACACAATAATTCATACAATTAATGTTTTGTTATTATCCCTTTTTTAATACAGACAAAATAATACTTTCATTTTTCAACATGATCTTTACCCTGAAAAAACTTTGTGCCCTAAGTGTAGTAACAGGCTAACTTGTATCAAAATATGATAGGAGTTAACCCGATACTGCACTAACAAAACAATTTTTGACAAGTTCCATAACTCTGCTGTTTCATGTCACACAACATAAAAGTAGGGATCAGACAAACAAGGGTAGATTTAAAAGAGGTAAAAAATACAAAAAATAAAATCAAAAGCCATTTTAAACTTATTTTACTTTTGAGCGATAATGCCAATCTGTCTCAATTTTTCCAAAACTGATTTCGTCTTTTTTCCGATTTTATTGGTCTCATTAGTACAGAAGTGCACGTCTGTCCATGGTTATCAATCTACTTAACCAAGTCATTTTTATAATTTTTTAGAATTTCACATAAAGAAAGTGAGGTCCAGTAGTATTTTATCTGAAAAAAAAATTCAACCCGTCTTATGTGGGTCTTGACAAAAACTGCTGTTTTTTAGTTAAAATTAGGACCCCGGTCTTATAAGAAATCCGTCCTATAGGCGAGTAAATAGGGTAATGTTAAACTTCACACATATTGTTAACACATGCCAAACTATTTTACCAATTTTAGATGAGAAACCAGTCATTTGAAGTTCTTTCAATTAAAAGGCATTTAAAACATTAGATAAGTTAATTAGTTCTGTTCTAACTGGGACAAAAAAAATTATTATAGTAACCTCATAAATATTTTTGGTCCCAGATTCTAATAACAATTATCCTTAGATTTTATGACTAATAGCAGAAAAAAATATTAACATATTGGTACTAGAAGTCTTTTTTTTCTATTTATAAACTATACAATCTACAAAAAACTATTACAAAAGGAAAGGTACCACTATGATGAGTAAGACACAGCTATCAGTTAACAAAACCAGTGACCTTGACCAGCAAATGTGACCTTTCACCTTGTGACCTAGTTTTGAATCTACTACAAATTGTTCATGACTATTCTTTCTAAGTAAGACAGGATTTTGCTCTAAAAATAACCTACTGTTCTAAAAATAACCTATTAAACTAAGTCTTTCCTGTCTAAAAATTTTAAGATTATTTAAAAAGCAAAAACTAGAATGAAAGAAGATGGTTAAAAAAAAAACACTAGTGCTTGTCAAATAGCTGAGACACGTCAAATTGTAGTACAATAAACTCGTGTAAAAAATCTCGGCACTACAAAACAACACAGATGCAAGAATATCAATCTATAATACTGTACGAGCGTATATCCATTATGAATCAGCACCTGGGTAGAACCATCAATGTTTTGTAAGCTAGCTGGACAGCTTCCTAACATGAAAGAATCCAAAGTCCCTGGCAGGATTCAAACCCACCATGGTGAGGGGCAAGTGGTTTGATGTTGCACTTATTCATTATCTCTCATGTACAGACTCATTTAAACCCAGTCTGCAATTTTCATGTAATTTTGTTGTGATAAATTCTTCCGAGGAATCACTTTTTTTTCCAGTATTTTTTTTTGGAAGTCAAGTGGTTTGGGTAAGGATGCCCCAAAAGTCTGACTATAAAACTGTTTTGTTAAAATATCTGTAAGTGTTTGATATTATGTTTAAATTAAGAAAAAAAAAAAGTCTTGCATCTGTGTTTAGAAATAAAACAAAAACAAACAACCTGTGACTTTTTATACAACTGAAATCAACAAAGCTAAAACAAATATAAATAACTGTCATTTGTTTGATAAAACAAAAACAATACATCAAAATATAAGGGCAGAGATGTAAATATCACTGTCTCTGATAAGGGGACAAATTTCTTAATGAAAAATTTCCACGACATAAAAAAGTCTCAATTTTTAAAACTTTCGAACTGACTAGAATTGATTTATTGTAAGTATTTGTTTATTTATTTGATTGGGTTTTACGTCACACACACACAGTATAGGTCATATGGCAACATTCCAGTTTTACTGGTGGAGGAAAACCTCACGTGCCCTTCTGTGTTTTATTTCAGGCATGAACTGGCACCCGAGTAGAACCACCGACGTTTCGTAAGCTAGCTAGATAGCTTCCTCACATTAATGTTATTATTTGAGCATGCAAAAATTGGAATTTTAAAGAGAAAACTAAAAATTTTGGAACATGCAGGAATACTGGAAATGGAAACATCACAAAATGTTACTATAAATAGAAAACCAATCAGCTACTTGTGGAATAAAGTAACTATAAATAACTGACCAATCAGTCGCTGAATCATGCATGAATACAGGAACTATATTTAACTGACCAATCATCTGCTGGAACATGCAGGAACATAGGAAATGTGATAACAATAAAATGTTACTATAAATAACTGACCAATAACTTACCTCTTGAGCAATGGTTGCTAGAGCAAGGTCATGAGTGAACAGAAGAACTCTCTGCATGCCATTAAGGAAAGATACCCAGTAAACTTTTGTGTCAGAATTGAAGAATACTTCTCCTATACCATCCTGTACAATAAAAGAAATACAGAAATTATTAAAATAATCTAAATATCAAGGCTCATTTAAGGAGAAATAATAGCTTCATTAAGTTCAAATTATGATCTTATCTAATTTTATTTGCTCTCGTATTCTGATGTCAAGCGACAGCGTTAAAAACATCAGTTATGAAACACTGAAATTCATTTTACTGTTATCATAAATGCACACATAATTCAGCTCTTTAGGTAGAGAAAGTCCTTAGATGCCCCTCTCTGCATAATCTAATGCACAAGTTTTGTTTGTTTGTTTTGGGTTTTACGTCACATCGACACAGTATAGGTCATATCGCGACGTTCCAGCTTTACTGGTGGAGGAAGACCTCGGGTGCCCTTCTGTGCATTATTTCAGGCACGAACGGGCGCCTGAGTAGAACCACCGACGTTCCATAATAATGCACAAGTAGTACACTTCCTTATATTAAATGTACTTTAATAACATGATCCTCAAATATAAAAATAACTATTGCAGAATACAAACCAAAGCAGTCAGCGGTAAGTTAATCAACCTTAATCAATCAGACATTAAGGTAAGCCCCTTCTATTGTCAATTTAGATTAAAAATTAAAGCCAATTAAACATTTTGTCTTTCACATTTAACAATCAGTGCCCTAATGGTATTTATTTAAAGTTAAACAGACCTGAGAGAGATCATTTTTCACGTCTTTTTTCTCGCCACAAGTCCAAAGTATTTCCCTCTT